CCACACACATACATGCATACATAGAAAAAAGCAGAAGTAGCGTTAGTAAAGTCGACCGGCGTGCAGCTGACAGCCTTGCAGCGAAAGCCGACAGTTTGCCGACTTTGCGAATTAAAAATAATTTCCTTCACGTATATGTATGTGTGTGTTCGCATATGCCACTAGCAAGGACATGCTATGCTCGCTTTGGCGTGATAAGAAATGGCTGCTGGCCTTAGAAAGAATTTTCACTTTCTCCACTTACTATTACGTTATAAATAGAAAGCCTCGTTGGTGTGTGCGTTAGCGTGCACAATGCAGGCGTCACGCTGTCTGGTCTGCGCTAGACTAACGCCCCTAGACAAACAGCAGGAATTTTCGAAACCTTCCTTCCTTCCCCAACCTCGCCAACAACCTCTGTCCAGTGCGTGTCCAGACGGTTGTGTCGGTTATTATCGCATTTACTATCGCCTACAACTGTTATGAATTTTTATTTATTGCTGTTGTTGCTTTTGTTATTGTGTCTGGCAGTCATTTAAAAAAGCTTGTTGCATGCCATGCTCTCCCTTCTCAGTGCGGTTGTTGTTGCTGTTATATTTAATGCCCTTCATATTTATTTTTTAGATATTTTACAGGTAAGCTTGCAGGATTAGCTGCGTTTTATGGTTGCTATGTTGTTGCTGGACGTGCGGAAATTCAATTGTCGAAGCTGTTGCATGTTTCTGACTAGCAACGTGATTGTTGCTTAGCATGCAAAAAATGTGTTGTGCTGTAGTATTTTCGAAGTATACTTTTGGGCGGTGTGAGTGATTAAATGGAAAATTTAATTTTATTTTGTAGTTTAAAAAATCTATTACAATTTTTCTATTACTCTGATGATAATCGATTATGTAAGCTCGCAACAGAGTGTCTCAATGTTACAACTATTTCTTATTCAGATTGATAATAAAATCTCAAAGACAACATCATATGTTAATAATTGCTATTAATAATGCTTAATTGATATTTTTATCGATATTTTAAAAAATATATTTCAATCGATAGTTTTTATCGATATTAATCGATATTTTAAAATTTTTAACGATATCAATCTATATTGATCGATAAATATCTGACGATAACAATATATAAATCTACATTTATATTCCTCAAAATAACGGTTAATATTATCAATTTACTGTATCGTTTTTATTAATGTATGCAAATGTAAATTTATTGGAAATTGAGCGATAAAATTCTTATAGTATACTTATTACAAACATTTTTAAAAATACCTAAAATATTTTTAATAAAATATTAAAATAATATTAAATTTCAAACCCGTTACCTCAATTAAATCGATATCTACATCGTTTATTGATAATCAAAATCTAAATTCAAAAGAATTTGTTTTACATTATTCCAGTTGTTATTTTTTTATATTGAGCCGATAAAAATTTTCGTTATTCTAATATTTATATAATAATACGTTATCGATAGTTATCGATTAATATCGATATATTTGTACGAAAATATACAATTATTTAAATATGTGATTCGCTATCGGTTATTGCACTCTAATTAATCCATAAACGACTATTAGGTGCAGTTTTTGTAATAAATAAAATCAAACAGTGCTCCATTTAAAGGAAGAAGGCCAATTATGTGTGATTTCATCTACGTTTCCTTGCGAAAAAAATAATAAAAATCAAAATTAAAGAAGTTAATTGCTGTTTTAGATATAAAAAGGTATAATTAAAAAATAATTAAAAAGCTGAGTAGTTAGCAGTTTACAATGATTATGAGCGCCGTAAAAAGTTCAAAAATGTAGTTCCCTTTTCGAAATTTCCAAAAAAAGCAACTTAATTTCCTTTTTCATCACAAATTGTCTCCTTATAACAAAATCTCTACAAACTTAATTGAAACTGCTAATTCAAATTCCCCCTCCCCCACAAATTCAATTAACGTGCAATTGGAGTATGAAATTTTTATTACCACTGTTAATGACATAAATGAAAGAAAAAGTAAAAAGTATACTTGACAAAATTTTGGAGTGTGGATTTGAGAAACGCCCGCTTGCATTAATTTGTTAGATCAGACGTGATGATTTGCTCGACGTATGCAAGTTCAACGCGCATGGAGTGGGGAATATGCTAATGAAAGACAACCATCAGCAACAATATGAAACAGGATAGCGCAGAAGAAAAGGACAATGGAGTTTTGCTTGGAAAAAACGTTATTTCAGTGAAGTTAGAAATGAAGTTTCTATGCATGAAAAAAGCAAAGGGAAGTTGGGAGCAAATGAAAAGTTTCGCAATTGTAATCTTGTCTTTTAAGCGTGAGGAAAGAGAGATGCCTGTGTATATGATACGAAAATAATGTAAAAATATACAAAGTTAACAAAAAAGAAATTGAGCAAATGTAGCAACAATGAGATATAAAATAAATTGAGGTAATAAGGGAAATACTAGCAAATATATTTTCAAAAAGCGTACAAACGGCGAATGAGTCATGATTTTGATTATACTGTAAGTATATGTAGCTTTGATGTGATGAACGATTTATTTTATGGCATGGAATATTATTTGATTTATTTTAAGAAGTGTAGAACCCTAAGCCCTTTTGTTTCTCAAATTAATTTTTTGTATTAATAAAAATTTGACATTATTTCGAGCAGTCTATGAAGAACTCTTAATAAAGTAGTTGAAGATAAGTCTCTAATTCCTATAGTAATACTAACAGTATCAACATTTTTAGCGCTTTTTCTCTTTGCTCTCAGCACGCTTGCCGAAGCAGTTATAAATTAATTTCATAAGAGCTAAATAATAAATGACTGATACTCGAAGATAAAAGTTCTCTACGAAGTAGTATTTAAATATATAATATATGGCAACCCTTTGCTATTGTAATTATAATGCAAAATATGGTGTTAACCTTTAAAAAAATTTTATATGTATAATGCTAGGATCGTGGCTTTAAGACAAAGATACTATTACTAAAGTTCTCTCCATTCTCAACCTACCCAGTAAATAATAAATTACTCAGTATCCCATTTTGTCAACTATAGACATATTTAAGTTTGGCAATGATCACTACCGTATCGAGGCAAATGAAGGTGAACAGTTCGAACAACTGTCTGTGACAGATTTTACAACAAAAATTACAAGAAAAGCAAGTTATATAACTAACTTGAAACAAGTAGTTAAAGGCAAGTAGCATTGAATAATTAAAAAAAGCAATCAGTTGTAGCGAAACAATGAAGCCAGCCGCAACAACAACAATGCATAATGATGAAGGTAACTAAGCAACTACAACAGCATAGGTAACAACAACAATAATAACAATAGCACCAAGCAACTACTTGTCTGTCCGTCGATAGCTGGAGCAGCATGTTGCAAATTTATTGCTTTGACAGGTGACAATTGTATTCGGTTGTCGAGGATGCCATGTTCGGTTGTCGACAGCCGACGTGAAGTGGTCGTTGCTGTGCGATGCAAGAGGTCGCACGGTAGGTGGGTGTGGAGTGTGGCTATTAAAGATAGTGGTGAGTTGCGTTGAAGGACGGTAGTGGAAGAATGTTGCAATTGGAATTTCGATTGAATGTCGTAAAGGTGAACAAAAGTTAACTGTGCTTGTAAATGTTAAACACAAATTAATATAAATAATATATATATATTTTTAAATCATTTAATTTAAGTTTTTTTTGCTTGAAAATGCTTATAAGTGCATAAAAAATGTTTCAACGGAAATTTGCGGCTCTAACAATTTTTTGAAACGGTTGAAGGTTACAAAAAATATTTTGAAAAATAAAAAAAATTAAAAAAATACAAATAAAAAAAATTTACATAAATATCAGTGGATTCAAGTTAATGTGCGAATTAACGCTTTTTAAGATTCTTTTTCTTATGTGTTTTTTTGTTTGCCATTCGTTCCGCCTCTTTGCTATTTGGCGTTCCAGTTACACGTAATTAAATTATATGCCACAATTAAAATGCTCAAAGGCAAACAGCGAGCAAAGAAGAGATAAAAACAAAGCAAGAAACTAAAAATAAGTAGAGGAATAATAAGTAAAACGGCGCAAATGAGCAATGAGCGTGGCAACGAAACAGGCGACAAAACTGGCACTGCCAAGCACAAACAATAAACAAAAACAACAATAAGGCCAAAAAAAAAACCAGTTCAAACGCTGTGACGTTTCATGGCTCAGCAGCAGAAAAGTAATTGGCACAAACGCTTTATTTTTGGCTGAAAACGGGCGCAGCAGTGCAAAATCAACAATAAAAACAACAACAATAGTTTTATAAGTCACAGCATGCACCGCAAGCGTTTTTGGCTGGAACTGAGTGCATTCGTTTTTGTTTTCGTGCTTTGCTGCAACAAAAATGTCACGCGTAAGTGAGCAAATGAAGCGAAAAGTGCGTGAAGAATGCAGCGAAGTGACTCATGCGCGCACACTCATTTATTGCCTGCTGGTGGTGAATGAAGGAGAAAAAAAGCGAGTTTTTTGGCACCGCTATTTAGCAGGACTTCTTTTGTTTTTCTTTGTTTGACATTTGTATTCTCGTTGCGTGCTGACTTGCCCTATTATTTATGTGGTTCAAACATGAAAAAATGTGTCTTCGATTCGCACGAAAAGGGCATCTTCGCGGACCAACCACAAGGATGGCCGAAAGTGACGCGCGAGCTATGAATCATTACACAATTTTACTTGAGATGTTGCGTGTGACTCAAGGCTGACGGTGTGATGTGCAGAGAGATGGAAGAAATTGTATCAAGTATATGCTATATGGTATATAATATGTATATAGGTAGTAGTAAATTGAGATAGAGATATTTTCGTTTTTATGGGCGCGCAAAGCATTCGCTGGGGTTTTACATGACCTTTGCTTTGTATGCAACTCAATATTTCTTATAATTGTTGTTAGTTTTAAGTCTGCCGGTAAGCTATCATATTTAAATTTTTTTTTTATTTATGAGGTATTCTAAGATGAATTTTGGTCATGCGATTAAGATATAAACAAAGAGAATGATTTTCGACTTACCGTTCTTCGATGGTCGTCGGCAGTTGTGTCCTCGCACGCATCATGCTCAAGAAATGTTTGGTATGCGCCGCCGAGCTCATACCGCCACCCATTAGCATGCCATGATGACCGACACTGCCACTGCCTTCCGACAAATAACCTTATCTATGTCGTGATAGCGTCTCGCTGTTGCGGCGCGCGTTGCGCTAAGCGCGCTGAGGCGCTCACTCTCAATGAATCGCCATCGCTGCAGTAACCTTGACTTATTTCCGCTTCAATGAAATCGGCCACATAATTGCGATTGCCACGCCGCGTACACGCGGTCGGCAGTGTCACATGCGAATTGTAGCCACGCAGTAACGGCGGCATCGGCAGCAGGCTCGTCGGTTTCTTCTCCTCATAGATTGTTCTATTCTGGAGGGTATTGTGTGGAACTTGGAGTGCGAGTGCGCGTGTGATGGTGTTGATGCGCGGATGGCGAGTCAGGATTGCGCGTGACCGCGTAGTGGCGAGCGCTGTGGTGACGCGAGTATACCAGGACCGGCGTTATATTCAAGTTTGCGCGCAGTTGGCGCGTTGCCGGTAGGTGAGTGGCGGATTTGGCGGCGGCAAACGACTGTTATTCAATATGTGGCATGTTCTTGTTGTTGCTTGTAATAAGCTTGCTGTTGCTGTTGATATTGCTGCTGGCGTTGTTGTTGTAGTTGGTTGTTGTTGCTGCTGCTGTGATATGTTTGTGGCGTTGCGTATATGTGGCTTGCTGCCCGGTTCGGTAGTATCGGCACCGGTTTCACGTATGTGGTTGATGTTGCTGCTGTTGATGTTGTTGTTGCTGTTGCGTTAATTCTTTCGATTTAGCGCTCTCACTAGATATGTTTGCATGCATGCTTGATATGTCACTCCTTTCACGCTTCATCATCTCCTGCTGCGAATTTGAGTTGCTCATGCCACGACACGATTATCGCCGCTGCACCAACACCACCCAAAGGTGATTGCGGCAACTTACTTGTGCCTTTATGGCAGCAATTGGTTTGGGTAAACCAGTGCCATTGGGGCTGCAGAGTCCCTTCGTGGGCACTATCAACGAGACTTCGAGTCGGACTTGGAATTAAGTGAGCCTTAGAAGAAGATTTCAGCGAATTCTTTTCGGTAACGCGCGGCAATGAGTTCTTGCCGTCCCATTGTAGAGTTGCGGCTCTCACCACTGAAGTCCTCTTTATTTGCGAGCGCGCTGGACTCTTCTCCTTCTTGTCCAGCTTGCTGACTTTCGTCTGCTCTTTCTTTAGCTGTGCCGCTATCAGTTTGATTGTTTGGTATTGATTTTGCTCTTGCCAGATGTTACACTGACCGCTGGCGGCTTGATCTGTGATATGTGTCCGTCGTTGGGCTCAGCGAAGAGTCTGAGCGTTCGGAACGCGCCGAGGAGAAACCCGAAGATGAGGAGGTGCGCTTGATTGCACTTGCATCTTAGTCGAGGCAGCATTAGCTGCATTTTGTTGTTGCTGTTTTCTTTATTGAACAACTTAAGCTTGTCAAGCATGGAGTGCTTTTGCTGTGGCAGCGTTGGTCCCATATTAGCGGCTGAGCCGGTATACCATCGGTGGCGGTATGCGCTGGCGTGCGTTGTTTTAGCCGTTGGCGGGCGTAGGCTATGGATAGAGATGAATTAATTTTATAAGATTTTTAAGTATATGTAAAATATGGTTTGTGTTCAATTTGAATAAATTTAATTCTACAATTTTATGATTTGCCGCTAAATTGAAAATTGTGCAGATTTTTTAATTAATTCCATTAAAATTATTAAATCTATGTTTTGGTGTTGGGATTTAACTGGGGTTCAATTTATTTATTTGCCTTTGATAAAATATATAAAATATATACTCACCCATTATTATTGCCAGTTTTAGACTTTGTATGGTATGATTAGTGGTTGGTGGACTATTTGTCGCGCGCTATTAAAATCAACGCCACTTTTCCTAAACCGGTATGGCTGCAAGTATAAGAAACAAAATTTGTAAATACTAAATATTTTATAATTTTGTTTCAATGGTTATATTAAGTTCACTAAGTATCTGGTAAAATATAGAAAATGTTGTTTTGAATATGATTTTGAATAACAATTAAAATGTTATTTGCGTTTACATTATTTATTGTATTTTAATAGAGCAAATTACAGTCACTGTTTTATTTGAACTATTCGATCAATATACATCCATTGAAATTTCAGAGTACCGTTAAATTTTTCAATTGAAATATGTACACTAGGTACAGTGACCTAATGTTGACGCGGTGGGTTAGATATTCAAG